AAGTTTTGAAACGTATTCGCGATTTTAGGTGCTGTTGCACTCACGGAGGCGACATTCCTCGATTGTGTGGAGTTAATACGACTCGAGGGAGCGATCGTTTCGTCTTTCGAACACGTGTGTTCTTATCAGTGGTCATTTTTTTCTCAGGACACGATAACAGTACTTGCAAAGCGTAATTTCCGTTCGTCGCTTTTCGAGGAAACTTCGCGTTGTGAAACTATATTATTTGCAATGACGTTCTCGTATTGTGAAACTCATCGTTATGCTGCTTTCTTTCTCAAGAGTTGACAACCATTTGAAAGTTTAATGTCAAATAGTTGCGAAGTTATTTAGTAATATTGTATCAAAATATTGTATTATATAAAGACATATCTTAAGTATGAAACTGCGGGTATTTGTTACTGATACAATTGTGCAGAATATTCCAATGAAAACATCGTGAAATATAATTCATTTAATCAAGCAAAATAATATTTGCATATTTAAGTGTTATAAAAATATGAAACAATCGTAGGAAAAGATATTCTTCGATTCCAAGTTCCTTCTGGAAGAATTTACTATTATTACTATTATTATTTATTATTATTAGTATTATTTCTGTTAATAACTGTGTTCAAAATACGTGATATAATTCAATATTACTATAGGGAAAAATTAATAGAGAAAAATAATCACGGTACAAACCTGCATGTATCGAATTTTCTTTTCATAATTTAATTATTATTTTATTTTCTTTCAGTTTTGAAATTTCGGCAAGTAAAATCTCCATTTCCAAATTACGATTCGGCTATGAAGAAAATGATGATAACCTTCAGATACGTAAGATTGTACCTTCTTAGATATTTTCCACTGACATTTTCTCTACCTTTTTGTTCAAGACATCAAATGTAGTGAAACGCTTCAACAATAGAGCGATTCGATGGATCGTGATAGCGGAAACGAAGTATGTACTTATATAATAACCTATTACCTTATAACATCGAGTTAGATGCAATGAAGACCAAATCGAAGGCAAGCTGCACACGGACAAACTCGGTTCTAACCTTTCTGTCAGTAGTTTCGATTTTCTGCACTATAACCTGTTAAATACAATTACGTATTATATAATATTTCGACATTTCGTTTCGCGTATTGTGTCCATAATGATAAATAGCTTAGGCTGATATATACCAATATTCGAGGAAAAAATCGCGAGACAAGGGGATAACCTCTAAAATGGTTGTTTTCGCGTGGAAAAGAAAGCTAAGGAACACAGCGTGACGGCTGTGCTCCTGCGTGAAAGGGGCACGCATTTCTAGGTTTTTGCAGAAACCGCAAGTGAATTCGTGGCAACGATCAGGCGCACCTGCGTTTCGTTTCGCATGATATCACAGCCATGCGATAAATTTTCATTGCCACGCGTGTAGGAATAAACTTTTATTGGCCATTGAATGGTTTGAATTTAAACGCGCCGCCTGTGCGCGCGCCTATCCCGCGAAAGAACTGCGCGAGTTGCATGCGCATGCCGGACGTAGGAGACGACGAACGACGCACGCGATCGTTTGGCCCTCTATAACGTCATGTCGTATAGTTAGAAATTACGTGCACGTGTGTATTTGTATTTTTCGACCTTTGTTTTATTTACTTGTCAATCTATTAACGTACTTCATTATCGTATCGTTGCATCGGTATCGAACTGTCTGTCTGTGAAGTTTATTGGTTTCCAATTTCTCAAATAATTCTTTTCTTCGTACGCGAAGAAAATTTAGGTTATAATGGTTTCGACAAAATTTCGTTCACATTCGTATTCACGTTTGCCACATGCGAGTGGATTGAATAAGATATTTGGGAAAGTTGTATTTGGAATTTCTTAGGAAAAGGATTTTAATAAAGTGTTTACAAAAATTGACGTTGTTTTTTATTACGATTCTATTTTTTACGACGTAGAATATTTTAATACGACGTAGAATATTTTAATACGACGTAGTTGAAAGGAGAATAATTTGTTAGGTTCAAGATATAAATCTTTTTTGAAAAAGTCAGTCACGAACTATTATAAGAATTAATGATTTTAAAATACTTAGTAGAGTGGGGGAAAAAATATTGAATTCCAAAATAAAATAAGAGAACGGTTTTGTTAACACGATGTTGATTGACAGGTTAATTGAATTTTAAAATTGCTTTTCTGTGAAAAACAGGAAATGTTATTTGTTATATTTTCTTCCATGGTCTTCATATGGAGATCATTTTGAAAAATAATTAAATGTCAAATCGTTTAATAACGTTGAAAAAATATATTTTAATATATACAAGGACAGAAATGAACAGAAATTTCCTGCTTTGATTTCATCTGTCACCTATTTTACCTCTCTCGTTGTGTTCTATTAAAATATAATAAATCATAAATACGTGAATCAGTGTGGGACAGGTAGCATGCATGCACGCTTCGATGTATGATGTATAATGTTTAGTTAGTGAAGTGTTACTATGATATTATCATTGAGAGCAAAAATAGGAATCAGTTGACCTAATTGATAGCTGATAACTTTTAGAGTATTGTTAGATGCAGAGTATTTTAAAAGTGTAATATCGCGTGGCGCCTCCTAGAACGATGTCAAGAATATCCTGTGGTTATCGCAAGTCGCGTTATTCAAATGAATCGAAGCGAGAATTTTCTGAACACCTTATGTAAGGTGCGTTTAGAAAAATGTCTACGCGTTAAACTATTTGAATTTCCAACGAGAGAAGGTGTGACCATCATTAGCTCGCGAATAATTACCACGTGTGAAGTTGAATCGCACTGAAGTGCGTGCATTTACCCAGCGAAGTAAAATTCGATGTAAGAATGTATTGTATAACCTAGAATCTATACATTTTGAAAAGGAGATTTTTCCGCATTCATTAAATTTTGAAATATCTTTGTGAAAAAAAATATTAAATTATTTAATAACCGTTATTGGTTATTATAGTAATAATAACGAATAAATAAAGAAATAAATATATAGTATCGATACATCGAATATATCGATAATTACTTCGTTACTTGATAAATAGTAGAAAACGATAAATGATTATTAATGTTATTACATATTAATTTCGTTATTAGGTGTTAGTACCATTGCATTCGAGTGATTCTAGAACAATTTTATCTATCTCTGATCGAAGCAAAGAGATATTAGTATTTCTGAGAAACTATCAGCGAGGACTTTTCGAGGCCTTGATCGCAATCAAGAAAGATGCGTGTATGCATTTTTTTTTTCAATCACAGACGATAGGAATCCGCCTCAGGATTCATATACGCATCGTGTCGCAATGTTTACAATTTACCTTGACGATTTGAACCGTGATTTCCGTGCCGTGACGGAAGGACGTGAGCTTTTTTTTCTTGTCCCTCGTTTGTTTTTTTCGTAGCAGGATAATCGATCAGGTGTTCGAAGGACATGTTGCTCTTACTCTTACGAATGTACTTTATCTAATTTAGGAACGATTGTATTAACCGTGTTAACGAAGGAGAATAAAATTGTGGAAAATAATCGGCTAAAAAGGTTACCCTAAACTCATGATCATTTATAATTACATTTTTAACATGTGTGTGGTTTTCATGTTCGAAAATTTTAACAAGGAATTGTTACAAGTAGCGACATCTTACGAGAACTTTCTGAAAATTCTACTGCGCCATAGACGATGAAAGTGGCGTCACCTTACCCACAAGACTGGTACTTAGTTGATTAGGTAGAATAGGACATTATTAACTCACGATGTATTCCGAAAAAAAGTTTTTAGTAAATATTTATATTTTAGTGAATAATTTTCATAAAATTCAAGAAAAATGTATTATATTTATCAAGATTTCAAAATTTCATATACATGTAACAGTATTCTACAGCAAATGTTTTTATTTAACAGGTATACTATATATCGATGAACAACTACGCATAAAATTATACAACATAATTAACGGCAACATACGGTGCATGCAGTACAAGGAATTACTACTGGAATATCGAAGTGAAGAGGAATATTGATACAGAATATTGATGTACCGGAAATTGAGGAACTACGGTATTAACACAGAGTATCCTGTAATATCGGGTAGATTCGTACATATGATGAATGTATCGTACCTTACAATTAAAGGAGGTTATATTATTTCCGTAACAGGCTTTGTCGCTTTATCGATATATTCAATAATATATTGAATTATTTTTAAATATTATATGTTACAGAATTAACTTTAAAGGAACAAGGAAGAGAAGAAGGAAAGGAAAAAGAAGTAAATATACCAAGCTGTTTACAAGTATTTTCATAAACGCAGTTTCATTTACGGATTTAATGGCACAAAGGTTAAGGTAAAATGCTTATTCATTTTTCACGAACCATTAAAATGCGCGAAAAGACCAATCGTATGAATGGACAACAAGTGTGGATAAACACATGGTTCATAAAGTTCAAGAGGTGGTTTGTATTGACATATGAGGGTCCTAAACGATACGCCCAACCTTGGTCGATTTGTAGATGGAACGAGATATATTATTTTAGTTTCAGGTTTACACAAAAGGCCCTTGGTGATGTTTATTTAACTTGGCGTTCTTTATCCTTCTTTCCTTACCACGTCCTTCCGCTGTCTTCATTCCGGAAGCTGCATCAATTTTTTTTCCAAATTTCTTTTTCCAACAGCACTTCGAAGCTCCCGCGAAATTAGTATTTTTGGAATTAGACAGAATTCTATGTCGTCGCTAATTTCATTAAATAGTTAATACTAAATATTTTGCAAAATGTTTCAAATTAGATATTATTGATTTTTCTATGCAAATTATTTTGTTATCCGGTAATTATCTCATCGCAGATATCTTCATTCTTATTCTAATATTAAATTGGTGATAGGAAATACACAGTAATGGTAATTTATAACTATAGAAATACTTTATTGGACTAGTACTTACGCTTTGGTTACAATAATGTTTCTAGGAATATATCTAAGGATATTATAATAATCGTTCTTAAGACGTTAATCAGTAGGTCAATAAATAGTGGAATAATAAGGCACTCTGAAATAAATATAGATTTCCACGATTATCCATCTGGTACCATCATCTGGTAAGGAACGAAGCTTTTTCATTCACAAACAGCAAGATTCTCTTTCGTTTTTCGATGAAGAGGCTCCAATGCCTTGGCTCGGTAGAGGTATTAGAAATAGGAGAGCTGTGGCTCGTGATTGTGACGCATTGACATGCTCTGATGTCCAGAATGATGGAAATTCTGGATCTCGTGGGCTCCCTGCTGACCACGGAACTGATTAGAACCCGATGACGTTGACGATGACACGTTGCAACTGTTGTTCATTAACATGGAAGCGTTCCCTCCTTGCAGAGCAAATGGCCACGACTGCAACGAATATTAAAACAAGTTTAATTATAGTTTCCTCCAACATTCCTTCAATTTTCTTTATCTTTTATATGTTACATATACTTTTGATCCATTTTACAATGTAATATGTAAACAAATTATAATTTTGAATAAATATTTCCGCATTTACTATATTTAAAATTGTGATATACTAACACTGATCTTCAAAATTTTCTCATTTCTTTTTTAAACATCTTCTTTCATTTTTTCGTCTACCAGTCATTTGGCCGATTGTAGTATGTTTGGGGTTGATAGTTAAGTTCGTCTTTTTATATATTATCGAATTGTGGAACGGAAGAACGGCTTTTATTTTTCACGGGAAGAAGTGTAATTTTAATCGGGGAAGTGTAAAAGGAATAAACGATGGTTCTTGAAATAATGGAGCTAAGTTAGAATTAATGGTGGAAGAGGATGGGTGGAAGCTTTGAGAGTGATTCGATCCACCTGGAGAGACGTAAACAGAGAACGTGTCTGCGAAGACGACGTTGCGACGCCGACTGGATCCACCTGGATCCTTTGTTATTTTATGGGCTCGTAATCGTGACACTGAAAATTGCAATTACGCGAAAAGGTCTTCGGAAATATCATACGCTACATACTTTATGTATTTATAAAAGTATTTATATCGTTCGTTTGAAATTTCACGAGAGAAGAAACATAGAGAAATCTTGAATATCACGTTCAAAACGCGAACAGTATTACTATATCAATCACATACTATCAGTGTTAGGGACATAGAACAGTTAAAATTTTATATAAATTTACGGGACATTCAATTGATCTTCGATCACAGAAAGAAAAGAATACAAAAGTCCATGTTTAAAATAGGAAATAATTTTTAGAACTGGTTGAGGCACAGCAAGGAGTCTTCATTGAAAAAGGGAAGATAAAGACGTACAAAATACACACAGCATAAAAACGACTCGTCAAACAAAAAGAAGGAAATTAGAAATATAAACAAAAAGAAGCAGGACACTAGCAAAGATTACCCTACGATATAGCATGGAATGGAACTAATCGCTTAAATAACTCGGAAATCTACGTACTCTCATAGATACTACATATATCGTACGAAAGAAAAAATCAAACATATTTCAATCAATCCAAAATCCCCTAGACTCTTCTACTCACGTATTATGAAAGGAAATCACGGAATATCGAACTGACCAGTGCCAAAGACAGCGATCTAGTGGTCTCCGAGTGCGCGTCGCCGTCATCCCTGAGGACCGCGCGAAGATGAGCGATGTATGTAGCCGCAAGACGAAGGGTGTCCAGCTTGCTGAGCTTCGTATCAGCTGGTACCCAGGGCAAAGTAGTCTTCAGTCTACAAAACGCCTTGCTGAGCACCCTCATGCGTGCTCGTTCCCTCGCATTCGCCGCGTTCCTTGGTGCACGGCTGTCCAAGTCATCCTTGCTGTACTTCTCTTCCGAAACGAACTCCTCTTCGTCGGCATCCAACGTCGGCGTCGAGGCACGTCGCTTGCGTGGCATCTTCTGCAATTATTTAATTGCACCATTTCATCATTGCATATTAATTCCCCGCGAATCTCCCAGCTACAATGGCGTAACGCGCGCTATTTCGGTCATCCTAATTTATCACGAACGAGCTATCGACACGACTGCCGAACTTCTTGGAATCGAGAAACAGTGGGACTGCGATTTATTCGATACACGAGACGGAACTTCTACAGAACGGAACTTCTCTTTTTCCTCGAGAGGAAGATGCGGTAAAGTTTAGCGAATTATGGTACTCTTCGTTGACTCGTTGGGAGATAGGGGTCGGGGAATTTCGAAGCACCAGTTCCATTCGGGACAGGAAAGTTCGCGAGGGTTGGAGACGAGGATGAGACACCTCACCTTGGTCCTTCTCTCGATGAACTTGATTTTTTCCTCTCGTATTATTGGAATGTCACGATAGGTCGCGACGCTCGCGCGAAACTAATTGTACGTCAAAACTCTCGGCTAAGAGGAGGAGGAGGAGGAGGATGAAGAAGAGGATGCGAGGAGAGGTAAGAAAGAGGAAAGAAAACGAACATTGGCAGAGAAGAGGGAGATTTGAGACGCCTCTGAAAATCGGGCGGAGCTTTCTCAGCAGCAAAAGCATCTTCCTGCTGCTTGGCCACGTCCTCCTCTTCTGCTTTTCCTGGAGGTTCTCGCCCAATCGTTTGGTTCTGCGTCATCTGCAGCCACCTGGTCCATCCTTTCCTCTCCTATCCTCTTTCGGACCACATATCCACGAATAGCGCTTTTTTCCGAATGGAATTGACCTTTGCTCCGAGTTGTTTTTCTTCCGGATATCCGTCCAGGTTTCTATAACTAGTTATTGTCTTTTCCAACTCATCTTTTCATAAAATTAAGCCCTCGAATCGGATGTTTGGAGCGATGGCTTATTTTAAAAGAGAAAGACAGTGATTATATCCATCTTTGAGTTTCCTTCGATGAGTACATTTTTCGTTAAGTTATCTTTCCTCCAGTATAAATATGATTTCTTTGGTATAATCGTTTCGATAGATATGGTTCCAAGTTGATTGTCTTCTCGTTTAAATTTTACAAGTTTTTGTACGATAGTTCTATTGTTTATAAATGTAGAATTGACTTGCTTCCTGCACTGGAAGAAACATACAAATAATTATGACAAATCTATTTTATACCCTAAAGATGGTGTTCTGAGTAATGTTACAAAAACTTACAAAAATAAGTACCCAAAATTTGAGAAAAGACAAATCTTTTTTCTAATTCTGAATAATTTACAAATTTATAAACATCCTAAATATAAATGATAATTATTTCGTGCAGTGTTGGAAAATAGTCTTTTTTCGCGTTAAATGGGGATCTATTCTTATTTCTCTCCCACTGCCACTGCTTTTTCTCATTCAGAGATTTAGAGTAGGAGGAAAAGACCGATTGATCTATTAATCCGGTTAAAGTCCTCGTGAACGGGCTGTCAACCATTTCGTTGAAAGGAGGATTCGAAATGGATCCTGTAATATGAGGTTTGCGGTGACCCTGCTGATCCTACTTAACATCCTGAAGCAGGAGTTGACTTATTGCTCGACAAATTCGTGAAAGTTCCTTCGCAATTTGATGCCTTTCCATGTAATTGGCTATGTTCCCTTCTCACGATATTTCTAACTAGGTATCCGTGTGGAATGGCATTCTAAAGAAATAAGGATTCGTATGAAATCGAATTTCAAGTTGATATATAGATATATTTGTACATTCTTTATCGTTAAAGTATTAAATCATTTTTAACTTATTTTTACGGAAAGTAATTTCGGTAAATTGTATATTAAAATATATCAAAATATAACGAAATATAAAATAATTTTCGAATTGTAAAATAAATTAATATATAATTTTAAATTTATATATAATTGATTACAATTAACAAATTAACAAATTGTAAAGTTAAAAATGATTAATTTAAAATTATTAATCCATACTTTAATAGGAATTATTTAGAGTATAATAAATAGTTCTTTTTACCAAATATATATTTACGTGTAAGCATGATACTACACTCAATTCTATGAATATTCAATTTATACATTCGATTTGAATGAAATATCTGTTTACTATAAAGAGACGTTTAGGCATAAAGAAAAAGATATTAGAAATATTTCTTGATTTCCAGGCGTATCTTGTAGTTGTGAACATATTTGGATACAGATGTCGACACTGCCATTGTCCGAGTGAAATATAATTTACTTGAAAAGGTTGTAAAATATTATTTACTTAGAAGATTATAAATTTTTCACCTTTCAGTAAATTATAATATATTTCTTTTATAAGGTGTATTATTATATGTTATTCTAAATTTGTGCATATTACGTCGTAGTTCATAATCTCACGACAGGAGGCGTTGGTTAAAGCAAGTTAAAATGGCTGGCATTATACATGGAACGCATTTGCGAATCGTGATTCAATTTGTACTTTTCGGTTGTTAGATTTTCGTGATTTTCTCACGTGTAGTAGTGTCTCTTTTACGTGTTTTTAAAATACTAACAATTTTCATTCAAAGTTTCTCGATATATAATGGTTAAGTGATTAACGACGAAACAAGGAGAACGTTTCGAATATTCTGACGAAAGTTCCGGAAGGTGGTTCATCGTACAACTGAATTTTTAGCAGCATCGGTTGTTTTTTGAGAAAATACGTAAGTACCAAAATAGTAATAATCAATAACGAATTTACTGGCGGTTGATTGTATGTACAATTGCGTACTTCGAAGAGGTTAGGTTGTATATTTGTATACGAAACGCGATGAAGTTTAATATTTCGAAAACAATAATTGTTTATATATTGTATCTAAATTATGCAGTTAATACTTTTAACAGAATTTTGCTCCAAGTAATATAAAAAATTAAATTTTTTCAGAATTATTTATTAGTACAATATCATATTAACGAGTAATGGTTGATTAATTTAAATTGGATTTTAATGAAGGTGTGATATTTTTTTATAGTTTCTGTAAAAGTGAAATTTTAATAGAATATGACTGAAGAACACCAACTGCCTTCTGACTCCGATGAAGATGACGAAGATTATGTTCCTGGTGGTGCAGATAGTGAACCTGTATCTGAAATAGAATCCGAAGGTGATGCAGAAAGTAGTCCTGAAGATGAAAACGATGAAAACAAAAGAGAAACTACAAAGAAAAGAGGGAGAAAGAAAAAGAAATCTATAAAATCTAAAATTAAAAAGCGTGGAAGATCAAAGAAAAAGGTAGCAGATGAAGTTAACGAAAAAGAGGAAGAAGAAGGAGAAGATGAAGAAGAAGAACAAGGATCCAGAGAGAAGAAACAACTTACTGAAAAAGAAGAGAAAGAGAGAGCTGATTCTCTTTGGGCTGATTTTATGAAGGATACAGGTAAATAATTTAATCTGTAAATATTAATCGACATCCATGAAATATTAGTGTTGCTGTTATACTTAATATTTCTATATTGTTATTTATTATTTATTAAAGCCACGGCACCTAAACCCAAGCCACAAAACATGACAAATAAATCAAAGGAGAAATCACCGCCCATAGAGAAGCCAAAAGTAGAAGAGAAAATGAAGATAACTAAGGTATTTGAATTTGCCGGTGAAGAAGTAAAAATAGAGAAAGAGGTCTCTGTGGATTCCGCAGAAGCAAGATTATCTTTGTCTTCTGCTGAAAATTCTGAGAAAACAGGAAACTCTGGTCCTCCTGCAGGGAAAGGATCTGGAAGAGGAAGAGGCTTTAAACGGGCTGGGTTAGGGGGTATATCTTCTGTCCTTGGTCAATTAGGGAAAAAGGCAAAAATTAGTACATTAGAAAAGTCCAAGCTCGATTGGGATAATTATAAGAAAGAAGAGAATTTAGAAGAAGAGATTACTACTCATAATAAAGGCAAGGATGGATATTTAGAACGTCAAGATTTCTTGGAAAGGGCAGATTTGCGACAGTTTGAAATCGAAAAGCAATTACGTAATGCCAATAGACGCAGTACACGGTGAATTTATATTTTCATTTATATATGTATCTCTTCCTCGACAATGAGAACCAAAAATGGTATTGAAAGGAATACCATATTAAACTTGTCAGTTGTCGGCGCTTATAGCACATATTTAATCGAATTCTTTAAACTGTTATTAAATATCTCGTGCCACGTGCAAACATATGATTGCGTCGCTTGGCTTGACAATCGGCTGGATCTCTATAGGAAGCGGTTGAGAGCCAATTCTGTGAGAAGAGACTGATCATTCCACTGTATTGAAGATAATATAGTATGTTATGTAATAGTTTAATTTACCATCTGCGAGCCTTGTCTCGAGCCATTATATCACAGAACTTCGCATCGAAGCAGGATGTTTGAAGCTTGGTGCTTCGAAGACCGACGATATATATTCTAACAATAAACAAGCTCCAGAGATGTTTTTATTCCGTTTCATTGGGAGAAGGATGATTGCCGCAGTATAAATAGTGTAGGTATTTAATAAAATGTCGTTCGAATGATGAATGGAATACATACAAGTATGTATTCGAGTGTGTATGTCTTAGAAATAATCATATTTTTGTTTTTCATTTACGATCACTGCCTTGGGCGAGTCACGTGAAACATTTTACTATATTTATAGACGAGATACACGAAACAGAAAACGCAAATTTTTATCAGGAGATTACACAGATAGGAGATTACAATGATCGTTTTATATTTTTTCAGCTGTACCTACTAGTGATATTTATTCGCAAAATAACGGCATATCTGCGGATCGTATAGCATGTCATTACAGTTTAATCGATAGATCATTTCACTCAGGAGATCTTCAATTTTCCAAAACTCGGTTTTACAGTTTTTCGAATATCTGTGAAACGATATCTTGCGAACGTGTACGAGATTCCTTTATGCTTATGGACTATTTGATATCGTAAAAATAAAGATACACGTTAATATTTAAACAACCAATTCATGTTCATGTCTTTATGTATCGTATTTTCGCATGATAGCATTGGTGTACGAATACATAACCGAGAGCATCAAATAGATTGTTTATCATTCTGTCGCTTATGTTTACGTCCTTCGCTTGGCGATGTACTTGTATGTTCTTTTTTATTTGTCACGAGGCAGATTCTTTGTTCAGGTCCTGTGAAAAGTGATCCTCGTTGGACGCTGCTTAATACCAGCATACAGTATCAATTTACAATTTATGTTCGCATTACTTAATTACTAAGCATACAAGCAATTAGCTCGTAACTCAGAGATATCCCTTGGGATATCTGGAAACGAACGGATCTTGTCGAGCAACAGAGGCATTCCATAACAGCTAGTACCCGAACGTCCGATTGACACAATACTCGCGAATGTTCCAGAGACATGCAAAAGGCTCCTTGTGGTGAATTTTCGTGGCTCGCCGCGAGCCTGAGAGCCATAACCGCGAGTCAGCCCACTCGTCTACGCCTTCTCGTATAATTCAGCGTGCCGTTGAAACACGCCAGAGATATCCGCACGACAAAACCCGTCTGTTTAAGCATCCAGCCTTCCAGGCAGTTATATTGATTTTGTAAGCAAATACAAACGAAACATTTATCAGAAACACGGATTCGTTGTTACCTTTATTTGCGGAATTTCACTTTCCTCTTTTCCTAGAATAGAAAAATACAAGTTCGCTTTGAATGTTGCAGTTATCGTCCGGCTGTTTACCTGTTCACGCAGATGCTTACTGGCGCGTTCTGATTCCGATTCCTCGAGCAGATTTTGGAGCGACATCGTTGTACAGGACACGTTCTGCATACTGTTGGATTATTGTGCCTAGGATTAGAATGAAAATTACCCCCTCGTTCACCGTCTTTGCATAATAATTTGTTCGTACCGCGAGAAAGGAAGTCTGATTTTCTGTAGCTTCTTGCGCAAGCTGGACAATCCTCTGGTGAATATATTCCCGTTTGGGCTAAACGTTAATTACCAAAATATTATCTTACTTATTATGGAGAAAGAGCAAGTGTTACTCGAACGATTCTCACTTTGTTAAGGGTGGTTTGCAGTTACATTGCCCAGGTGCGTTCTCTATTTTGCTGTTCGAATTATTCCTTCCTCTACTACTTTTTCTCTGAAATTAAAATTTAATTATGTCAAATTATCGTTTTCATTCTTTCTCTGTGATTATTCTTCTCTCGTTCCCTGTACGAAATCTTAATCAGATGTATTGGCAAATTGTGTTTAATGTACAGTTTTCTAGTATTCTTTTTCGAATTGATAAAAATTGATCGTACTTTATCTTTTATGCAGCAACAGTCGTTGTATTTCGAAAGAATTGTACACTTCGTCGGACATTTGCAGTATCTCCTCAGGTCTTGTGAACTCGATCCCCTGACGCATATACAGAGCGGTGTTCGTTGTCTTTTCGATTTCTTGCATCGAGATACCCTTGTCTTTCTCGTTTTTGTCGCAGTTCGAGGTTTCCTGGCCTCCTCTCTTCCGCGACAATTGCAGCACTTCTTGTGCGACTTGCAAGAGATCGCTTTCAATTTGCACGATTTCGTAGAGTCTCTGCTTCTTCTGCTGTAGTTGAGAAATTAGACACGCGTGAATTCCCAAGAGAATTTTTGGGAACTTCAGTGCGTAACTCGTAATTATTCCAATAAATCTATAAATTGAAGCAATTTTTACTGTATGGTTATCGACTAGTCACGTCGTGTCGAGAAACGTATTGTATAATGTTGCAAAAGGAAGTGAACCAATGTAATTTCGCTCAATACGCGAATATGAAATAATTACGAGTGGCTCGATAAATGTTATATCTGATTATTCGTGCATGTGTATTTTATTAGATAACGTGACAATGTTTTCGTGTACGGTAACTATTCACGGAATCACTGAAATGGCATGGGAATGAGGATCTTAAAGAATGCAAGACTGTAAAGGATCTGTTACTTCGATGCTTCTCGCAAACTATGCAGGTGGTTGCAACAAAGACTATAATTTATTTATCACCCTCTCACCGTGTCCTCGACACCGATGTAGAACTTTCTACGGTCGTTCTCGAAGCTTGGCACTTTTTGCTAGAAATCAAACGAGAATCTTCGGATAAAGCGCATACATTTTGATTTCACGATAGAAATCGAATCCCGAATACGCGATTCCTTTTAAAAATCGGAAATATTCGATTAAAATATTCCAAAGTATTGTAAATTGCAATTGCAGTCGCAAAGATTATCTAAAGTACTTCCTACAACTCCTTGGTCGACTGTGTCTTCTCGATTTTTTCGCTTGATCCTTTCTCGCTCGTTCTTTCTTCGCTTGATCGTGTTTCTTCTTTCGTTGCTTTGACGATGTTCTTGAAGTGCTCGGAGGATGACTTGAACGATGAAATTTTTGTGTAAAAAATATTTACATTACTTTCATAATAATTTTTGGCACCTTGGGGGAGGTCGGTTTGCTGGACATATTGGATCTTTACATCTTCTTCTCATTTTTCGTTATTTTGCGTGGAAATTTTCTCTGGCCTAGTAAACGCAACGTCGTAGTGCCAACTTTAATTATTTAATCATCGAATATCCTTTTAAACGATCGAATTAACTTTTCCCCATATTAAAATTTAAATTTGGATCAATTATTTAGGTATTAATTCGAATATAATTTAACATTGGTGTATTGGATCGCTTACTCTTGTCGATTTTTCATTAACCTCCCGATCACGGAGGACAACTGGACGTTTTCTTCTTTTCTTATTATATCGTACATTTTCTTGGACCCATTTATTCATTTTAGTAACCAATACCGATCATCGTCCATGATAATCCTCCGTTGCAATTTCTCATTTTTATTTTTGTATTTTACAATGTAAATTCTATCTAACCTATTGATTTTACACGTTGCTCTGACAGGTGATCTTGTCGAGAGTATCGTTTCATCGTTTCGAGTTCAATTATCGCGAAACACGGGTTCAATGTATCTCCTTCGCGCGATACATTTCAGCGATCTGCCAATACGGTTATCTTCGCGTTTCAGCATTAACTATCGGGTTGATCAAACATTCGACTCGCCGTATCGAAATGCAGCGGTTTGAAAATCCTCAACATTGTAACGCGATTTTTAAAATTCCATTTGCTACCATCTCGATAACAACTTCTCGCATGGCACCAAAATTCATCGCATAACATGCTGCTTACTTTACAAAATGTAGTCTAAGCACACGTATCTTTGTCTTACAGAAAATCAATCTATCTCTCGATCTAATTAACCGATTCTAAGGGAAAGGAGCTCGCAGAAATAAAAGGCGAACAAGCGATACAACTCGTACGATCCATCTCGTTTCTACGTAAACTCTCAGCTACCCCGCAAGACAGAGAAACCTCAGGAGCAACCTGAACGAGAGAACACGAAGGAGCTTGTCCGAGCCATAATCTTCTCTCGAAGACTGCTTCTCTCATTTGTCCGTTAATCGCGGCCATGAAAGCGGCACCTGTAGTGCCGTAAAATCGAATTAAAATCCACTTGGCGAGCTATCAGGACAAAATGAAAGCGGAAGCAGCCAAGTGCCCGCTGCGAGTCGAATTAGCCAACGGGCCAAGCGGTAATCGCTCGCGAATAAAGATGCTCGTGAAACGCGAGTCGCAAATTTTTCGAGCACCTGGGGCACCGTTCGCCGCTGATCGCAATCTGGACCTGGAAGGTGTCGCGTGTGCCGTAAAGCCGAATTACGATTCAGCCGCAAGGATGAGGATGGCGTAAGAGGAAGCCGCGTGGACCGGAGGTGGAGCAGTGCGTGGATCGTTGGACGTGTTCGCAAAACGGCAGCAGGAACACGAACCGGAATATCTCTTCGACCGTTCGTTCGGCAGCCTCCATTCGTTTCAGAACACCTCGAGTGAACTTCTCTACAAGGAGAGAGAGAGAGAGAGAGAGAAAGAGATTGCAGTCGTTACTTTCCCGGTTACTCGACACGACGATCTGTACGGGAAGAGATTAGTTTGATCGCTGGATTAAACTGCCATGGGTTTGGTTTACGCGGTCGGTGAATTTGTAAAGTTCGTCACTGTAGGATAAGTTTGGCGGGATTTAGAGAGTAGTACTGTTGAGGTGAGGATTTTCACACTGGTACTACTTTAGCAGCGGGTAAAGTGGAGCTCTGTTTGCTCGTGGTGGCAAGCAGTAGAAGATGATATTAGCATGATAGACTTAGATTGGCGAGGTAGTTTGGTATATCGGTCGAACGTCAACGGCATGAGTTTGGTTATCGCTTGGTCGCCATGATTGGGGAATATGCGTGAAGTTTCGTGTCGTAGAATAAGTTTTGTAAATTTAGTGGGTCGTTATTGCGAATTTCGTAAGCGGTACTTTTAGAGAGTAACGTGAATAGAGTTCTGTTTGCTCGCGAGTATTTTTGTGAAATTTTTCTAGAGTAAGTACTAAAGTATTACTGTAATATGGTTGTAGCTGGTAAGGTAATTCGAAAGGTGATTATTCGAAGGTGTATCTATCGAAAGAGACTTAGGTTCACGTAGTTTAAGTATGATCGTTACTTCCTTGGTTGTACGTCGTGACGATGCACGTGTATACGTGATTAGATTAGCACGATCGTGGAGCTAATTGTCTATGTTTATTCGCTGAAACACGCCTGTGTAAGATAAGACGAATTATTCCTTTCTATGAAACGATTCTTCCAGAAGATAGCGTTACTATAAGTATCGTTTCGCAAAATAAAGTAGAATTTTATTCGTCCTCTGATATGACTTATAATTGCAAATGCATTTAGGAAACCGATAATTTCAAGCTGTACAAAACGAATAGAATCGAACGAGAGATTGGCAGTTACGTTTAGGCTGTTCCATAATAAATAATACTCAGTAGAAAATACTGTTTCCTCTTTTTAAATAGTATCTTATTTATTTCGCATGACACGTCTCTCACCCGATCCGAAATGCAAATCCAGCCATCGAAATTATTCTCCTTCGCAGAAAATACCATATACCACGTAACGAAACACGCTCTATTAACCAAGACACCAGCAACCCAAGACGATCAGACCCTATACACCGAACCAAAAAATCCTCATAATCTTCTGCACGCTATTATTAGTTACTTAAAAGACCCATGTCGGAATTCAGCAGCGACGTCGCTGAAACCGCGCGAAACGAGCCGGTTGCACGCGTCTGCGTTTAAATTTAAACACGTTTGAAACCCACCCTAACGATTCATTTCGTCGCAACACCGAGGCAAAGAAACACACGGAGAAGCTCGTACTTTATCGTCGACGTATTGTCACGAAGTGTTAATAATTAAGAGTCAGCCTTTACGCGAGAACCATTACCGTTTATTTTCGAGCGTCGCGGAACAAGCCTTCAATGCGCGGGCGCCATAATGGATCCGCGCGAAAGGATATCCTTTGTGCTCTTTATTGGGCAAACTGTAACGAGCGGTCGACATGTGACGTGGTGTTTTATAACGCATTGTCGAAGCCGCCTTTGCGTTCTTTCCACGACTAGAAACGGAACTTTGAGCTTGTCGTCGGGCTTTCGCGGATGATAATTACGTTAAAAGGGAACGTTCGCGATTTTCATCCTGTCGGACAATGGACACCGAGGAAAAGGCCCTCTCACCTGGCGTTTTATCGAACAACAAAATTACGAAGGGATCTTGACAATAAAAACGCGCCGAGCTCAAAGTAAATTGCACACGGCCGAACCCAGCCCGTGTACGTACGGGTGTGCACGTCTGTGTGCTGATCCGAGAGGAAATTTACGGGAACGAATCGCGGGAAGAGCTGTTATTTCGTATGAGAGAGTGGGCTATTTAGCAAAGGAATTATAATAAATGCACAGAGGGAAAGACGGCTCTTCGTTGCGTGTCTCGTTAGGGTCGTTTAATTCTGTTCCGGCCCTGGTAAACTACTCGTGGCTTTCTTCTCCCGTGGAAAAAGCTGATTGGCTACCGGAGCAACTGCTCACGGTTATAGATTTAATTATTAGACGTAACGATGAATCTTCTTACGATAAGGAATTTCCGTGAACGATAAAATGCCAGAGATAATAGATTTAGCATTGTAATCGGGAGGAATCATAATTCATAGGAATTGGAAATTTTCATTCATAAATTAGATGTACTGTATTCTAGAAATAATTAGCAATTAAAGGTTAATTATCCTTACGATATTTCATTATACTGTATGAGACATTGTCACGTGAAATATAGAAAATATAATTCCTTTCGATCTTCGTATCTTTCTCAATTTTCGGAATACGTGGCCCTACTCTTCCGAATAATCTATGTTGTTTCATTTAATTTCACGATTTTCAGGTATATTTTCTGATAGTAAGAGATAATAGATTTAGCATTGTAATCAGGAGCAATGATAATTCATAGGAATTGAAAATTTTCATTCATAAATTAGCTGTACCGTATTCTAGAAATAATTAGCGATTAAAGGTTCTTAAGGTATATTGCTCATTACGATATTTGATTATACTGTATAAGACATTGTCACGTGAAATATAGAAAATATAATTCCTTTCGATTTTCGCATCTTTCTCAATTTTTGGAACAGATGGTCCCACTCTTTTGAATGATTTTTGTTGTTTCATTTAATTTTACAATTCTCAGGTATATTTTCTGATAATAAGAGATAATAAAATTAGCATTGTATTCAGGAGGAGTAATAATTCATAGGAATTGAAAATTTGTATTCATAAATTAGGTGTACCGTATTCTAGAAATAATTAGCAATTAAAGGTTAGTTATCCTTACGATATTTCATTATACTGTATGAGACATTGTCACGTGAAATATAGAAAATATAATTCCTTTCGATCTTCGTATCTTTCTCAATTTTCGGAATACGTGGCCCCACTCTTCCGAATGATCCTTGTTGTTTCATTTAAATTCACGATTCTCAGGTATATTTTCTGCAGGAGAGGTAACCGACGTCTTGGTTCGGAATCTTCGTTTTAGCGATAAAACGAATTAGTTTCTGTTGAAAATAAAGGAGAGAAGGAAAGTCAGGACGCCTGCAACTAGTCGAATCCCCTGCCCCAGCCGAGCTCCAATTTCTCTTATTTCTATATTCGATCATACATATGCAAAAGATGGCTTCGTTATATGCGCGTTGTTAATTTACATAATTGGAAGTACGTGCCTCTTTTTTCTCCTCGAGTGAACAGAGCCTGTCCAGCAACGCGACAAACGGAGGATAATCGATGCTATCTCTGTTCGAAACGCTTCCCTTGGTAAATGCAATTTCGGTGCACCTGAAGGAATCTGCAAGGCAAAAGCAGACGATCTATTTTCATCGCCGTCCCTCTTTCGCCATCGAGGATTCACTCCGGTTTCGAAGATTTTTTCCACCGGGCTTCGGATGAAATTCAGTAACGTACTTAGAGGAATTCGCGACAGACCTGTTCCAATATATAATTTCTTCCAATACTCCAATATAATTTACACAATAATTGTTTCTTATCCTACGTTTTCATTGAAATGTCTATCAATTTTGCTTTCTAAACCAATCTTACGACACCCGTTATCCTGTTACTTTAAAATACAATTTCGTCCAATATTTCGGTGCAATTGTGAATATTAAAGTCAAAGTGCCTTACAGTTGAATTTAAACGATCGAATAAATATCGCAAAAATTCGTAATATGATAATATAATTATAACAAGAATATTTCACTCGATTCACGGAATTTTTATTTATTACAATTTATTCCCGAATATTTGAAATCGAGCAGAGAACGTAGTACCCGTTTTCAGTCCGTATTCCCCATGGTTACAGGTTCAATTTTTCAAGTACACTTCGCTGTACATTTCCCATTCTGTTGGGTGCATAGAATGACGAGGAAAAGAAACATATGAAAGAATCGTAAACGGTTATACCCCTAGCGAAAAGTTTCCGGGGCGCTGTTGCGAGTGTGCCTTCTGAATACGCCACTGATAAAATTCCAGGAATTCCTTTTGCCAGAAGCAGACTAGACGAGACTAGCAATAAGATTGATTCGCACTACCAAGATTCCAGCGTCTGGTTTTACCTTGCGTGCCAACCAAGTAGTCCGGAATTAAAGTTTATCCTCTACTCTCTTTCGCCGCTATACGCGAGCTTGTTACTCGAAATTACAGTAACAAGTGTTCTAGTTCCGGTGAAGTTAAGGTTTCGAAATTCGCCGCGAGCTTGTTACTCGAAATTACAGTAACAAGTGTTCTAGTTCCGGTGAAGTTAAGGTTTCGAGAAAGTCCAGTTACGAAATAATTTGTATACGCTTTCTGCGGATATTCCGAATTCCTCTTTCACCGAGTGGTATACTGTATATCAAAAATAGGACAATTTTGCATACAAAGATGAATATAAACCCTGGAATCAAATTTTTCTGTAGAGGACTTCGTTTCTTTTAACGAGCTCTAATAATTATGGATCAATTCTCATTACATGTTGATAAATAATCCGAAGACTACTATAACGAATTACCCTACTCGTTTACTCGAATGCTTCATCGAATCGTACAACTCTGCGAATATCCAGAGTATCGGTTTCAGCGTGGAAGAAGTTTCGCTGCAGAAACGTTTCAACGATGGCGTGAAATCGGACCGAAACCCGACTATTTGCCTCATCTATCGCAGTGTAACGTTTCACAATCCGGTAAAAATCATAATGCTAAAAGCGTCCCAGGGCACACAACGTCCGTTTATCGCGCTAGGAATTTTCCCGCCAAGCGAATAGCTAGCGTAGGGCTTAGATCCGGGGCATGGACGTAGCCATGGCTGGTTCCCTGTGGGGGCTGGAGTAAAAAAGAAGACGTCCACTCGAAAACG